TAAAAGAATTCCCAATCCCTCACTCAAATCGTGGACTTCTCTACTGGTTTCCCTAGCCAAACTGAGCAACATGCTTCTCTACTTGATTTATTTCTTACCTTCTTTTCTCGCTCTTGCCGAGCTTCACAGTACTGCCCTTTCGGTAACTCGGAGCATTCTGTGGTAGCTATTGATATCTCCTTCTAATCATCCAATAAACAGGAATCCCTTATCCATAACAACTCTTTCCGTTACCATCACGCTGATTGGGATTCATTCCGATATTTTCTTCGTGACGCCCCTTTGACTGACATCTTTAACTTCCCAATTGAAAATTGAGCCATTTATGTTTCTTCTTGGGTCAAAGTCGGTATAGACGCTTTCACTCTTCTCGAAAATACCAGGTGAAACCGCAATCCTCTCCGTGGTTCACACCAACATGCTTGGCCGCCACAGCACACAGAAACCACTATTTCCGGCTATACCAGCATGACAACATTCGTCATAACAGGTGCCTATTTGCTACTGCACGTAACAAATGTAAGCGAGTCCTCGAATAAACTGTCCGTGTTTGTTGAGAGAATGAGGCACCGCATAGCATCTAAAAAATTTGGGCTATCGTGACTACTGGCGTCTCTGTAATAGAATACTAAATAAGTGCAAGGTCTCTATTCCCGCCTCTTCAATCGATTTGAGGTGTTATCTTCTGTTGATAAAGCCGAATGGATTGCTCGTAAATTCTTCTCAAACTCTACTCTTGACTCATCAGGATTATCCCTGCCTAACTTCCATCTTAGAACTGATTCTCTGTTGAGTGATATGCATATAACCCCTTCCATGGTTTCTGATATAATATCTAATCTTGATTCCCACAAAGCATGTGAACCCGATATTATCGTTGTAATAGTCCTTAAGATGTGTGCTCCCGAACTAGCCCCTGTATAATAAATGTTTTGCTTCTCCTACTTTCCTGCTTGCTGGAAGTCATCGTCTGCTGTTCCAGTTTTTAAGAACTCTGGTGAATCGCCCGACCCTTTTAACTATCGGTCTATTTGCCTTCTACCGTTTTTTCCAACTTTAGCGATGGATCATATATATGATTTCCACAAAGTCTGGATTGAGCTTGAATAAACGTTCAAGGCAAATAAGCCTCATTGAGATTAGAACCGTTCATGACTGAAGAAAATCCAGTATGTTCGGTGATGTTGAAATGTTACTGGCTTTGTTTGGGGGTTATTGAATGTTACAAGCCTGTTTTCCCTCAGTGAGATCTGTTACAGCTTAGATGAAAGAAGAGATCATCTGACTGACTCTAGAAAAAGTCTGTCAGCTTGCTTCATTGAAAATCTTCTTTGTGCCGTGTCACGTAGACGATCATGGCTCTCCACTCCTTCCTGTCCCTTGTAGTTCTTAATAAATTTAGTCTTTTTGCTATTTTTCCCAAACCCTGTTCAATCATCCATTTACTCAAGCCAATCAAGTATCTTACACGCGATTTTCCTCTGTCCCTCAATCTGTCCTGTGAGTATCAGATTTTCCAAGCTCTCCTTCCTCATTACGTCCCCAGAAATTTCAACTGTCGCTTCCTGGTGTTAAGTATAATATTTCCTGGCACTGACAGAAAATACATAACCATCTTAGCCACCAGGCAGTCCCAAAGGTTAAAAAATATAGAAAATATTAAAAAGAGAAATTTAAAGTTGGGATAATTACTGTTTTACTCGAAAGGAAGGCGTTAACTTCTAAATGTAGTGTGGCGATTTAGTGTTCAAATCACACCGCTTTTAACATATTCAAAATAAGTGAAACACATACATGGATTTTTTTAATATATTTATATAGAGAGCACCATAGTTCAGAAAAGGGGAGGAATACGTATTTATCCCATTAGCTGCAATGTGAATGTGTGTGTGTGTGTGTGTGTGTGTGTGTGTGTGTGTGTGTGTGTGTGTGTGTGTGTGTTTGTGATGTACTACGTGAGTTGGAATGAGATTTAACTGTCGGCTCTCCTGAAGAACTGTCTCGCCAGAGGAGAAACGAGACTCGTATTGTCACTGTGGCATTCTGTGGTCGAAGAGAGAAAAGAGAATGTGAGTCGTTTCTTTTTATACTGACTTATACAACACCACCTAAGGGGTGCTAAGAGAAGTCCTCTAACATACATAGTGGGAGTAATCCTACAGTAGCGTTACTGTTACAAAATTGGGCATCGTTTTCTTTTTTAATAATACAAGTATATTTAACGAAAGTAATCTTTGAGCTTACGATATCTAATTTTTCAGATACAACTTTGTATACATTGTTTGATTATTTGGACAGGAATATACTCTTCACGCGCCCGTTACTATAGATGGAATAAGTAAAGCATGCAATAAAAAGGGAGATAATCGGGTATAGATTTTAATTAAATTTACGATGAAAATGTCTCTTCTCGTTATGATGTATAGCCCCCTCATGCTGCACCAATTAAACACAATTTTTTATTTTCTCTCGGTCGGTGATCGCTTGTTGTTTTGGTTTGGAGCTAAAAGAACTTCAAAAAAGGGAATTTTAATCTTAGCTAGTTTATTAACATCGACATCTCTAACTAGCCAGTGTAGTTGCTCTCCCCATCCACTACCTTCACTGGGGAGCATATCCAGACACGACAGAGAACACATCTATATTGTTCGCCGGTTAAGACTCGACTCCCCGACAAAAAGTTTTCTCTGTATCTGTCATTCCCACGCTGGCTCAGCCAATCAAAATTGACTTCCTTTGTTTTGTCTTGTATCTGACCCATAAGGTTAAACTGAACAGAGATACAATTCTCTAAAAAAAATAATAGTCTGCTAAACTATTATTTAACAGTTATGTATTTATGGTCGGCTTTTTAAGATTAAGATTTTGGAGTCTTAATGAATTGATAAACAAAAAAATTAGTCAATATTATTTTGAAATGTTTTTATTTCTTTTTCTTGAAAAAGTTTTTCATTTGCCCCTTGCCTTTCACCATTTCGACTTGTAGTACTGCCAGTTTGTCATCTTTGTGATTAAACAATAAGAATCCTAGGATAATATGTCAATAACACGAGAAGATTTTTTTTTAATATTTTGCTCTCTCAAAATTTAAGTCTTGATTCCCTTAGAACTTGCTTCAATTACAGATTTTTTCGGGTTTTTTTGGGTTTTTTTTTTGTTTTTTGTTTTTTTGTTGCTTTTGTTTTTACTTTTTCTCCGAATACCTTTATACTTTTTTCTTTGACTTGAATTTATTTTCTTTTCCTTTTTTATATGATAACTGCAATGAATAATCTAATATATATATATATATATATATATATATATATATATATATATATATATATATATATATATACACACAGTAGGGGAAATAAATATTCGTACACTTGAAAAATTGTATTTTTGTAAATGTAAAAGCCTTAAATAAAACAAATCTCGGCACATTTTATGCATAAAGACACATACTATTAAAAAATAATAATAAACTTAATTCTTATTCTAACAGAAATTAATGCATTTTTTTCATTCTAACTGGTGAAAAAAGTATTCGTACAAATCAATTATTAGAATAAAATAATTAATTATGAAAAACGTATATTCTAGAATGTTCCAGTAATGTTATCAGTAATTATAGTTAACGCTATTAGCCATTATCAGAGCATTATGCAATGTCTAGTCTTACGAGAAGCTTCTAATAATGCCTAAAGGTAAAGAATTGACTATTTCACAAAAACAACACATTTTGTCTCTTTGGAAAGATGGGAACAGTTACAGAACGATTTCTAACAACCTGAATATTCCTTTTACTACAATTGCTTCGTTCATTTCAAGGTTTAAAACTCGTAACAGCGTTGAAAACCAAAGACGAACAGGTGCTCCGAAGAAGATTTCTCTATGATCAGCAAGGATATTAGGACGCCAGATCCAACAAAATCCGCAGGTCACCCGAGAAGAGCTGCAGGAACATCTGCGTGCATTAGGGATTAAAGTAACCAAGCGTACAATAAGTAATGAACTACACAAAAACAGTCTGAAATCACGCATCCCAAGGAATGCTCCACTCCTCTTGAAACGACACAGAGATGCTAGGCTAAAATTCGTTAGGGAGCATAAGGATAAAGAATATTCGTTTTGGGAAAAAGTACTATGGACAGATGAAACTAAAATAGAGTTGTTTGGTCATAATTATCGAAATCATGTGTGCAGGAAGGACGGTGAAGCCTACTTACCAAAGAACACGTTGCCAACTGTAAAGTTTGGTAGTGGCAGTATCATGATCTGCGACTGTTTTTCTGCAAAAGGTGTTGGCAGAATATCAATAATAGACGGCAAGATGAATGCCGAAAGATACCAGAAAATCCTTCAAGGCAATTTAATGCGTTCTGTTGAGAGTCTTCGGCTACCTCCTGATTGGGTTTTCAAACTGGATAATGATCCTAAGCATACCGCTAGATCTACAAGGAAATTGTTAGCTGAAAGTAACGCTGATGTCTTGCAATGGCCAAGTCAGTCCCCAGACTTGAACCCAATCGAGAATTTACGGCGATATTTGAAAATTCAAATTGGGAAAAGGGCAGCAACAAATATCAAGAATTTGATGACAATATGCCAAGAAGAATGGGATAAAATACCACTCAATGTGTGCAAATCATTAGTTGAGACGTACAGGAATAGACTAGTAGCTGTTGAACTCAATAAAGGATATTCCACAAAGTATTAAATTAAGTTAATATGCTTTTTTTGTTTTGTACGAATACTTTTTTCATCAGTTAAAATGATAAAAATGCATTAATTTCTGTTATAATAAGAATTAATTAAGTTTATTACTATTTTTTAATAAAGTATATATTTACACATAAAATGTATCAAAATTTCTTTTAGTTAAGACTTTTACATTTATAAAAATACAATTTTTCATGTGTACGAATATTTATTTCCCCCCACTATTTATATATATATATATATATATATATATATTGTGTGTGTGTACAAGTGATAAAAATGCCGTTTGAACTGTATTATGATTTTATACATTTCATTGCTATGTCTTCAGCGCTGCAACGTGTTTCATATTTCTTCCGTGTTTCAGACCTGGCAAATGTAAGTTTCTTTATTAAAAAATGAAGCTTAGTGAAAAAATTTAAAAAAAAAAGGCACATATACTGCCAAAATGCAACAGTAAACATTGTAAAACTTCAAGTATTTATCAACAAGCAAGACATTTATGTCGGCAATATACAACATCCACTTGCAGTGACAAGAATGCCAAATATTAACAACGAACATAATTACAATGTCTCGATGCTGAATTTCTGTGGATCAAATTTGTTTTTATTTGTTAAGTAATAATTTGTGAGATATACAAGAAGGCTAGACATATAATTTCCTTTTCATTGTCATACAGTCTCTCCCTCGTGTTGATTTGAATTTGCTAATTCAAACATAAGTATTACTTGAAAGTAAATGAACAGCGGCAATGTTTCCATCCGTCAGTAGAAGGTGATTGGGCGTTTTTTGGTGTTTTGTTTTTTGTTCACCCTTTACAAGGACCGGGGGCCACTCGAGGTAGTGGGTTACGTTAGGAGGCAATTTTTGCGTAGAGGACTGGAAGATAACGGTTAACCCAAGCTTTGAACGCCACCCTGTAACCTGGGGCTTCAGAATACGCTGACTACACCTCTGCAGAGGAGTAACCCCCTCCCGCCAATTAGTGATGTCTGGGGACGGGGTCCTGGTGGTTGAGGGCTTCAGGAGTCAGAATTAGATATTTCTGATTCCCAACACACCACTTTAGCCCTTACTTAGGTAAACGGCCTATAACTACAGGATGTGATGGATAAATTGTCGTCTAAATTACGCAAAAAAATTGCATCTCATTTTAACAGATATATTTACCAAAATTACACAAAAACATCTTATCATACTAAAGAGTAAATTTATTCAATAAAATCGTCATTTACTTCAAACACGGCCTCCAGACGACCTCGGAATTTCTTACAAAGTTTCTGGACAGTCTTCTTGTTTAATTTGCATAATGTTGCCACAATCTTTGTCTTCAGTTCATCTTTGGTGATACAAGGAGTTTTGTTGATCTCTCGCTGAACCGCGCCCCACATATAATAATCAAAGTGGTTGCAGTCTAGAGAGTTAGGTGGCTAGATATAAGGGGTGATGCGGTCGCAGAAATTGTCTGACAGCCATGATTAGGTTCATTTGATTGTGTGGCATGGTGCAAGATCCTATTGCCAGACATAGCGTCTTCTTCCACCAGCCACCCTTTTGACTGAGGGCAGCACTACCTCCTCAAGGCACTTGATGATGTGTTGAGTTTGAGGCCCTCACCAACAAATTTGGGAGTTCTTTTCTTATCAGGACGATCAGAGCGAGTTTTCCGAGCTGTCCTGCCTTCGTAATCACCATTAGACCCTTTCCGAATCCTTAGCATTGCCCACAGATTGACACCCAATCACTTCGAAATGTTCGTATTGGAGCTTCCGACGCGAATGCCAAGCAGTACAGTGTACCGTTTCCAAATTTATGGCTAAGTGAATTGCGTCATTGTACTCTTTTTCTCACAGACGGTGACAGACTGACTGTACTATATTGTCCAGTCGACAAAATAAAAAACAAACACCGCGCATGCGCGAAATTAAAACTATAAAATGACGACAATTTACCCATCGCACCATGTATATCAATTTATGGAGTACTCTGTAACTAAATACAATACCCTAAAGATACATCGGGATAAAATACAATCTCTATCCAATTTCTAGGCGTTAGAAGATGAATTTTTAGAGATTTTGTTTGTCTAAATGGCCAGCGATATCCTTTTTCCTGTTTTTTTAGACCAATACCAAACAGACATTGTGAAACACCTCTTGATAAATAACTGCCAAGAATGGTTGCCAACAATTTCCAAAGCTCAAACAAAAAGCGAGAAAAGAAAAACTAAACTTTAAATCAGATAATGCCGAAATCTATAACCTACCATTCACTCTGGAGGAACTAAATGAATCTTTAAAGAAACTCCAAAATACAGCTGTGGGCCCAGATGATATACACTACGAATTTATAAAACAGTTACTTAACAAATCCTTACAACTGTTATTAATAATGTATAACATATAAACAAATGGAAATTTTCCAGAAATGTGGAGACAGTCATTCATCATTCCTATTCCAAAACCTGGAAAGGATGACACAGACCCTGAAAACTACAGACCGGTATTATTAACCAGTTGTCAATTTAAAACTATGGAGAGAATGGTCAACAACAAGTTGACTTAGTACCTGGAAACTAATAGCTTAATCAGAGACTTCCAATGTGCTTCAGGAAAAAAAGGAACACCATAGAGCACTTAATACCTAGAAACCTTTGTAAAGGAAGCCTTCAAAAGAAGGAACATCTCACAGTCTTTTTTGACTTGCAAAAGGCGTATGATACAACATGGAAATTTGATATCTTGAAAGACCTGCATGAACTGGGCCTAAAAAGAAGGCTGACTCAAATCATAGAGAATTTCCTGGAAGACCGAAGATTTCAAGTCCGTATAGGAACTACATTATCAGAACTGCAAAACCAAGAAGGGGTTTCACAAGGGAGCATTCTTTTGGTGACCCTATTCTGCGTAAGAATTAACTCCATAATCAAATCCCTAAGCCTAAGAGTGAGATGTTCAATATATGCCGACGACTTTCTAATAATGTACAGATCTCGACATAATGCATGCAATAGAAATACGATTCCAACAATGCCCCAATAAAATACACAAATGGGCTACGGAAAATGGTTTTAAAGAGGTCAACTACAAAATTTTATGTAAGAAGCTGAACAAGCATATAACTGGTTAGCATTATATTAAATTACCTCCCCATCTCTTTCACTTTTCCTTCTTGGGAAGTTTGAGCGTCAGACTTCAATATATCTTACGAAATAAGGTAACAATCTGTATGTGAACATAAGGAAATTGTCTAGGTTTTATATGCAGACAACTTCGTGTCATGACCCATATTAAACAATTTTTTTCTGGTGAATTTGAATTTAGCGGACGTCACATTCGATTGGTTAATCATGGCAAAGTCTATTTTTTATTCTGCTTTTTTAAATTAATCTTTCACTCACCAGTTGCTTAATATCGCCTGAAGAAAACATTTACGGTGTCGAAACATAATTATAATTATGTAGCAATTTTAACATCTTTTAATATCCTATAATAAATAATATTTATGTCAAATTACAAGTGGGCAGTGACTGACCACGACTGCCAGGCTGTAGTTTGTAAAATATGAACCTTTATACCACCAAGCGAGTCCAAGATGGTAAGTCAATCAAACTTGTCTGGTGGAGGGTACTCTACCAGCCCAAGATCAAAATAGCCGAAAACCATTGAGCACTCTTTGTTCAGTGTGCAATCTTAAGCAGAATCTTTTGGGTGCTGCTTATCCTTAGTACTAATTATATATATATATATATATATATATATATATATATATATATATATATATATATATATAAAGGTATATTTAGTTGGCAAGTATTCATCCCCACCAAATTGAATAAAAACAGTCGACAGGATCTGTCTGTTTCATTTTTAATTGCATTTTCACAATTTTTGAATAAAGTATTGGGTATTGTGCTCGAAATTGCTTCCCTTCCGAAGTTTATATTGTGTTTCAAACTTCCAGCTTTTCGCAGAATACGAGGATGTAGATAAAAAAATTCTAACTACCACACAAACTCCACATTGGTTCTTCAGAATGACTGAGATGATCGGAAGTATTTTAACAAAACAATAACGCAATAGGGACTTCGGACAGTTTATCCACAATTCCATGCCTAATACTCAACACATTCGAAAATTATAAAAGTACACTAAAAAATGTGACAGACCTTGACAGCTGTTTTTAATCAAACCTGTTTGGATATATTTATCTATATTGTAGACACTACAGACACAGTGCTCAATGTAAAGTACATAAAACACAGAACAAACATCAAATATATGGTGAAACCGTACTTTAATTTTACTGCCGTCCTCCACTAAAAAGTTTTATGTGGACGTAAAAGTGGTTAATGTTACTACCAGACAAACCTCAAGCGGTAAAGTATTGTGTGACAGTAATCGTCTACATGAAATCTTTAGTCGTTTTATTTTTTAATTTTATATGTGCAAATTAATATTTATTATGCATATAATCGTCGTTTTTTGTCAGTAATTGCTGAAATATATGTGCGAGACTAATGTTAATACCTTAGATGCCAATATATCCATTATTAAACGTATGTCAAAATAATTTTTAAAAAACAATTTTTATACTGGTAAATTCCAATAAAAATGACTATAATGTTTTAAAATACCACAAATCGCTTGCTTACTAATGGGTTTCAAGAAATTTAACAGATAAAAAAACTCAAGAACTCCGAGACATCGTGATTTTCTAAGCGTAGTGAGGATCGAACTCACTATTCAGTAGCAGTTTATCTAGCGCCACATGCGTGTTATTACGCCATGTTGAAATGCCTAAAAACTCCTTTTCTTTCTTCCCGCCACTGATGCTGTGCCAGGGTCGAACAACTTGGCACAAATGTCATCGTAGAGGTTCAACATTAAAGATATCATCGGACTCACTTAAGTCCTCGTTCTGGATTTATAACTTGGATTTACTTTCAAGACCTTTCTCGTGAGTTTCTCCCCGGGAACCGCAACATTGTAGAACAGACTCCCAGTGAATGCCACCCACCCAATCATTACATTTTCCTCTTCAATTTTAGGGTCAATAGAATATCCCCATAAATTATATCCACTATACACCAATCCCTAGTATCATCTTGAGTGAATCTTTGTACCGGATGAAAATTTAGTAAAAAAATGCGTACTTATTGCCGCAATCAGTAAAGATTTTGAATTAAAATTTGTCCTTTTCTGAATCCCAAACTATATCCCTGATGGAGAACTGTAAGCAAGATACACTCAGCATAGTCGCAATATAAACCTATAGTTATCTATGTAGGTGCTGAATGAACAGATGGACATGTTCGGGAACGAGCAACTATGCAAGAAGATGATAAATCCCACTGATCTGTAATGGGAGCTTGAGTGCATAGATGGCAAAGCAGGGTTTGGGAAAGATTAACAAAAAGACAGAATTTATCATGAGCTAAATATAACAATCAACTGTGGAGAGCCATGATTGCCAAAGGTACATAGGAGAAAAAGAGGAAGAAGAAGAACCATATCCTAAATGAGTCTACTGATAGGAAACAGCCAATAATGATTATGTGGGCTTGGGAATATTCTGATGAAATAGGACTAGAAATTGGAGAGAGCCACTGTCACCAACGTCTGAATGTCCACAATACAAAGAAGAAGAAGAAGAAGTTGGATATCAATATGAAAGCCAGAAAAAAGTTTTGCTTCGGAGGCGTTTAGATTAACATGCTTTTCCTTGCCCCAGTTAACAACAGAATGTAGGTATTTTTTTTTTTAGATCATCTGCCAATTTAACCTTATCAAACAGATCAGACTTATTAGTAAAGACAAGAATAAACAGTTGTATCGTCAGCATAGATTCCCAGTTGAGAACCGATGGCATCGGGAAGGTCGTTAATGAAAATTAAGAACAACATAAATCCATTGATAGAGTCCTGGAGGACATTTGCATTAATGCAAAAATATCTAGAAGAGTGACCGTTCATGACCACTTTCATTCTGCCATTTGAATAGAAAGACTCAATCGGTTTAAAAAAAAATTATTCCACAAATATCATAACCTTTCAATTTGTGAAGTAGACCAGTAAGCCAAACACTGTCAAATGCCTTCGAGATATCCAAAGCGATTGGAAATAAACTTCCAGTTTCAACAAAGGACAAAGACAGAGGGAGATAAATAAATAGCTATCCTTTCCAGGACAGTTTTCAACCCTACCTAAGACCAAACATCGACCAATGATACGGATTAATAAAGGATGTTCCAATAACTTGGACCGATTTTAAATGTGAATTAAGTTTAAGCGTCTAATGGTTTTTTCTTTTTCTTTCAGATTTGACGAACATTTTGGCGATATTATTTTCACACATAATTGCCATGACTTAAATAACATGCGCCAATAGAGAAATAAATAAATTTTCACCAATAACACTGATTTATTTATTGCTGACTTTGACCCGTCTTAATGGAACACCCTTATATATAATCCGTCTTAATGAAACATCCTTTAGCATAAAAATCATATCAGTTACGAACTTGATCTCATCAGTTATTTCTATTCATTGCAGTTAAAAAAAATATACTGTCTTTGAAGTGTCAAAAGTCAATGAAAATTCATCGATGAACTCTCTGGTTACCTTACCTTTTCATCATCTTCGCTTCTTTGAGAGTGTCAGGAATGCATCTGCCGGCTGATTCCGGCAGTAACAACACCAGAGGACCCGAAACGAGCGTAAAAAAAGCCAGAAGAATAAAGGGCAAACCTTTACCGAAATTCCCTTTCACGTAATCGCCCTAAATAATTGAAACAAAAAAGAAATTGATTATATGAGAAGACTGCAGTCATCTGGGTCGGTAGCTGCAAAAGGATACAAAAGAGACCTGGATATATTCTATGTCCTGAAAAAAACTTACTATCTTGAAGACGAGAATTCACATTATATATATATATAATGTACATTTTTCCTCAAGTGATACCGATGAAAAAAAAGTGTATATTTATTATTAATATAGACTATAGCTCTCTTATTATACATCAAACACTATTTTATCACCACACACACACACACACACACACACACACACACACACATATATATATATATATATATATATATATATATATATATATATATATATATATATCCAAAGACAGACTGTTTCGCTGTATCACAGCTCTTCAGTGGGGCTAGACGTCCGATTACTTCAAGCCGGGATCGAAATCCGACCGATTTGGTATGTGATTTCTTTTAATCGGTAGAGCGCATTTTTTGGAATTCTGTAGCGCCAGTCCACGAAGTCCGAAGAAGGATCGTCTTCGCTAAGACCAACAGGTTTCACTAGCTCAAATCTACATTTAACCATTCATGTGAGAAATCGGTTGTATACAGCCGTTTGAATACTCCTGAACGAGTCTGGACGATGCTAAGGTGAGTGTGTGTAATCAAGGAGGAGGTGGTTTTAAGGTCAATGGAAACAAAATGTCACTTACATTTAGAATCAAAAAGAGACAGTTCAAATTTTGGGGACACATAATAAGGAAAGAAGACTTGTAAAATTTGACACTCACAGGAGATATCGAAGACAAATGGGGCAGGGATAAACTGCGAGCCCACTACCTTATGGGCTTGTGTAAATAGACGGCAAAACTGGAAGTAGGATGGAGAGTAAAAAGATAAACATTGTTAAGAGCTTTTTAAGCTATTGTTCACCAAGGCCCAAGAGACACTTATGGCAAAAGGTTATTGAATGTGTTTGTTTTATAAAACAGAATAATTGTAGATAATGAATATATATAAGATAGATAACATTGGTCTAAAACATGAAAACTTCAAAAACGAAATTGCATCGGACTCAAGAGTCCTCGTTCTGGATTTATAACCTGGATTTACTTTCATCTTAGATAATTTGTGGGCACTGGAAATAAAAATAATGATATCCAGAATTGTTGATTGACGCTAGTGTTATATGAACATTTCATCAAATTTCTGGTTTTTGCCAGATTAATTATTATTTTAATTACTTTATTACATATTATTATTCTCCTAATAAACTAATTATTATTTTCTTTTCCACTAAAGTTTTCACACATTTAACTGGCTTGTGAAAAATACCATGTGAATGTCTACTCAAAGCCGATAACTTCTGCTATGTGTGTGACGAAGTGACTTTTGCATCTTAAAAGCGAAATACATCACTTGTGAGAAAAGCTCACCAACAATACCTTGAATGCAAAATTGGAGACCAAGACAAGAAGTGGACACTACACATATGACGTAATACCTGTACAACATACCTTAGTCAATGGCTAACCAGGAAGGAAACAAAGACCAATGCCATTTGCAGTGTCCATGATTTGTAGAGAGCCAACCAATCATGACACCGATCTTCTTTTTATGTGTCATGTCCTTTCAGGACATAGGCGATCATGGCTCTCCACTCCCTCTATCCCTTGCAGCTCTCAATAAGTTCCTTCCCTCTGCTCCTTCCCACCAGATCACGTTCTGTCATCCATTTGTTTAAGCCCATCAGGTATGTCACGTGTTGTTTTTCCTTGTATCCCTGTCCCTCTATTTGATCCGTGAATATCAGATTCTCCAGTCCTTCCTTCCTCATTATGTGTACCAGAAACTTCAGCTGCCTCTTCCTGATATTAAGTATAAGCCGCCTCCTTCTTTTCAACCTCTCTAAGATCTTATTGTTGCTCACCCGCTCGGTCCATGATATCCTTAGCATCCTTCTGTAGAACCACATCTCCGTGCCTCTAGTCTTCTTCATCTTTGAGGAAATCGGCCAACATTCATTACCGTAAAGAACAGCTCAGTATTCTTTTCTTTGTTACCAAAGATATCCTTCTGTTTCACAGTACTCTGGTTAGCTTTTGGAATGTGTCCTTGGCCATCCCAATACGCCTACGGATCTCAGTGTTGCACTTACCGTCCTCTATCGAGACGCTTCCCAAATATTTAAACTTCCGCGTCTGCTTGATTCTAGTGTTCCCGGCCTGTAGTTCGGGGTCACCCGCTTACTGATGACCATGTATTCCGTCTTCTTGCAGTTTATGCTTAGTCCTTTCTTCTCACAGTCCATCGCTACTTTCTGTAGGAGATTTTGTAATTTCTTTTCCGTGTCTGCTATCAGTATTGTGTCATCTGCGTATTTCATGTTGTTAAGATTGTGGCCGCCAATGTTAAATCCTGGTAGGGTTTCCAATGTTCTCAGAATTACCTCGCTGTATAGGTCCGGTGAGAAGACGCATACTTGCCTTATGTCCCTTTCTATTTTTGTATATTCACTGAACTCGTTCCTTATGCGCATGCATGCTGTTTGCTGCCAGTATAGGTTCATGATTATTCTGATATCTTTCCTGAATATATCGAGGTTGCTGAGCAATTCCATCAGATTCTTGTGTCGTACTTTGTCGAAGGCCTTTGCGTAGTCTATGAAACATAGTTACACGTCCTTTTGCTTCTGTATCATCTTTTTGATAACTTTCTGCGCATGAATATCATGTTCCTTGTTCTGGTGCCTTTAACGAACTCGCCCTGTTCTTGTCCTATCTATGCGTTGATTCTTCTGCGCGCTCTGTTCATACGGATGATGAGTTTTGTCCCGTGGCTCATTAGGCTTATTGTTCGGCGGAATTCGCATTCGTTTGCGCCTGCTTTCTTAGGAATAGCTCCGAAGATAGATCTGCTGAGGTCTTCCGGTATATCCCCGCTGTTGCAGATTTCATTTGTTATTTCGGTGATCTTGTCTATGCCAAAGTCATCTAAGGCTGTCAGCATTTCAGTTACAATTCCGTCTGGCCCCGCTGCCCTGTTTCTGTTCAATTTGGCCAGTTCGGCTTTTATTTCAGTTTTCAGAATTCCAGGTCCGTCGGTAGTTCTGTGTGTTGCTAATTGTACCCTTACGCCGTGGAAGATTTCTTCAATGTTTTCGTTCCAGCGTTGAAGAATTTTTTCCTTCTCTAATATGAGCGTTCCATCCTTTGATTTTAGGCAACCTGTTGATGAGCATGTCTTTTGTCCTGATAGTTGTCTTATTTGTCTGTGCATATTTCTTTTGTTGGTAGAACTCGATCTTTTTATTTCTGCACATTTTCTTTTCTGCACGTTCTTCTTTAGCTTGCCTACATTTGTTCCTTATTTCATTGTGTAATTTTCTGTATTCTTGGCTGAGTTTTCCGTCTTCTTTCCATCATGTCGTTTCTCCTTCGTCCTGTCACTTTTGGGATATCGTTTGCTAATGTCACTAAGGTGTGTCTTAAAGACTCCCATTTCGAGTTTCCATCTTCTCTTCACATTGTCTATGTATCTTTCTTTTAGGTTAGGATCGCCCAGGAGTTTGTGCTTCCAATTGCTGATAGACTGTCAAAGAAATAGAACTAGGCAGTGCAATACCCAAACATGTCATCAGCCTTTCGTCCTGTACCCCATAATGAAGACATACCATTCCGAGAAGCATTGGAATAGTATGAAATCGATTTAGATGATGAGGAAGAAAATGAAACCTCAGAGCCTGAACCATCAACTTCATATAACCAAGATTATTGTCCAATATCCGTCTCTGAACCATACCTCATCATTCATATAACCAAGATTATTGTCCAATATCCGTCTCTGTACCATACCTCATAATTCATATAACCAAGATTATTGTTCAATATCCGTCTCTGAACCATACCTCATCATTCATATAACCAAGATTATTGTCCAATATCCGTCTCTGAACCATACCTCATCATTCATATAACCAAGATTATTGTCCAATATCCGTCTCTGTACCATACCTCATAATTCATATAACCAAGATTATTGTCCAATATCCGTCTCTGAACCATACCTCATCATTCATATAACCAAGATTATTGTCCAATATCCGTCTCTGAACCATACCTCATCATTCATATAACCAAGATTATTGTCCAATATCCGTCTCTGTACCATACCTCATAATACATATAACCAAGATTATTGTCCAATATCCGTCTCTGAACCACACCTCATAATTCATATAACCAAGATTATTGTCCAATATCCGTCTCTGAATCATACCTCATAATTCAAAGTGACCTAAAGGACTTAGTCCGAGATTTGGAACTTCCTAAGAGTAAAGCAGAATTGTTAGGTTCCAGGTTACAGCAGTGGAGTTCTATTAGTTGGTGATGAACGAATCTCCCATTTCCGTGGTCGTCACAAAGATCTAGTCTCATTCTTCTTTATGGAAGGTGATTTGGTGCACTGCAATGATGCAATCACTTAACATCAGAGAACTGGGAGCTGTTTATTGATTCCTCGAAGAGAATTCTCCAAGCTGTCTTGAAAACTTTACATGCTTCAATCCCAGTTGGTCATGCAGTTCACATGAAAAAAAAACTTATGACAATATGAAACAACCAATGCGTGTATCAACTGAATACTGAACTGGTAACTTTGCGGACATTTGAAGGTTGTTACTCTCTTGCTAGGTCTGCAAGATAGATATACCAAGTACTGTTGTTTTCTTTGTGAATAGGACAACCGAGACAGGAGTTCTTTTTACATAGAGAAAAAATAGCCACTACGACAATGACTGAAATCTGGAAGGAAGATATTCAGCATCCACCGCTAGTTGAGTTAAAGAAATTTTATTGACACCTCTTCACACCAAGCTTGATCTTATAAAAAGTTTTATGATTGCTATGGACAAAACAAAGGCAGTATTCAAGTGTGTGCAGAATAAATTTACCATGATAAATAAAGCAAAGACAACGGAAGGTATCTTTGTTGGTCCCCACATTCATAGACTTCTTTTGGATTAAAATTTTGACAGTGTGCTACTGAGAAAGGAAAAAAAACTGCATGTAAATCTTTCAAGCCAGTGACAACCAAGTTTCTGGGTAATGAAAAAGCACAAAATTACGGAAAATTGGTGGAAGACCTGCTGATGGCATACAAACATCTTGGCTGTAACATGTCGTTGAAGGTTCATTTCTTAGATTCGAATAAAAATTCTGGCGCTGTAAGTGATGTGCACGGTGAATGATTTTATCATGACATTGCAGCAATGAAGAAAAGGTATCAGGGTAGGTGGAGTTCATCAATTAAGTCTGGTTATTGTTGGACTGTGACCAGACATGATACTTCTGCAGTTTACAAAAGACAAACGAAAAAGTGACGTATGGTTACTGAATAAATGTGCATATACGTGCATTTGAAGAGAGTTTGTATTTTATTCACTGAACACATATTCAATAAACACATATATTGCCATCTTGATATGCCTGTATATTGCTCTGATAGCCTACATTTTTCTTGGAGGCATACATTGTACGTATGTGTATAACATGGCTGACTAAATATCTCTAAATCTTTAGCCAACCATCTAATTTGAAGGTCAATTTCGAATTGGCAAATTTCATTTCTGAAGTAGTCAACTTGGTAAAAATTATAGACCAATGTAATTGATCCTAGATTTGAAGATGTTAAGATTGCAGTGGCTAGAAAGCATCCACTCGGGAGTCTCTTCTACAAAATAGCGGCTCTTGGGGGGGAAGTGGTACGAATTGGAATTCCTTCTGATTAAAGGGAATAGGAATAGTACATGGCAATGCAAGTCTTAACTGTAAAGGTCTGAACAGGTGGAACTATGGAAGATAAGAAGTCGTGGAAAGCCATGATCGCCCATGTCCTAAAAATGACGCAGCTCATAGAAGAAGTCTAGATTAAATATTTACAACTCTTAACATAGGCGAATGAGTCAAGTAAGATTTGACTGTCTAAGCACTTGTTCTTTTGTCGTACTAGTTTATATATGTCTTATTTACAAATTATTGGTACTGGAGTAATAAATTATGTTTTCTATCTGGACTGAACGCTAGAAAACTGAGAAAGATTTTAAGTCTTTAGTATAAAACGACTACTTACCAGAATCATGATGTAAGGTGCTGTGATGGACCCGATTCGGTTAAAAGTTGAGAAAATTCCCAGAGCACCATTTCTCGCAACAGTTGGGTAGATTTCGCATACAAACAGATAAATAATACCAAATGCAGCTGTGACAGCTAATCTTCCAACAAGACAAAACATCAAAGTAACCCATTGTAGATCTAAAAATGAACAAATAATGTTTTAATTTTCAAGAAATGGCCGATTCTAAATGAACAAAACAAAATTAGACCACACAACAAAAAATATGGAAGACATTTTAAACAAAAAGGATGCTTAATCTGAATAACCGAATGGAATGCGTAGAACTTAGCGAGAGTAAATTGCAAGAACCAGTCTGCAACGATGACTCATGACTCAAACTGTTTTGTATTAAATTGAATGTGTCTAAACATTTACAGGGTGATTGAAAAGTAACTCCCTAATTTATGTGTGATGGACTCTCCCGTCTTGTAAAAATTATAGTTAAACCGGAGAGTCTATCATACATAAAATAGGGAGTTAGTTTTCAATCACCCTGTATAATCATCAGTTGATAAGTTCACAAAACCTGGCACAAAATATAAGGTTTTTCGTAAAGAAATTACGTTTTACCAAAAAGGATATAAAAACAAATGTCAGTTAAACTTATTTAAATATTAAGATGTTTGGAAAGTAATTCTTTTATCAGGAAATATCTAAAAACAAAAATAAGTTAAGCTTATTCAAATATTATTTATCAAAAATGTCGTCACCTTCATTTTCAACGAAGCAGTCCAACAGGAAGGCAAAGTTTCGATTCCACGTTTAAAGTAATCTGAGGTTTTCCCGAAAATGTTTGAAAGACTATTTTCAAGAACTTTTTTTTTTTACAATGCCGTTCATTCTCTGCAAGGTCCAAGATCCACTCAAGGTAGAGGGTTACAGAGTAAGGGAACCAGTTTATAGACATATGTGGCGAAGATAACGGTTAACTTTAGACTTAAACAGGTTACGATTGTAGTGATCGGGGAAGCACCCTCTTGGGAGTCGGTGCGACAAAACGACGGTTCGTGTGATGACCAAATAACAATCTGTATATGCTAAACCTGGTAAGTTGGTATGGTTAGCGGCATATCATCACCTATACGGGTTATAAATGCCGAAATCCAAATATTTAGAACACAATTTTTTGGCTTCAACTAAATATATTTTGAACGCAATTGTATGCCTTCAACAACAAATAAAATGTATTGTCGGTCATTTTGCTATAAAATGTATTGTTAGTAGTTCTACTATAAAATGTATTGCTGGTCAATCTGCTTAAAAATTGTATTATTGGTAATTTTATTTTTGTTGGTATTCGTACTATAAAAATGTATTTTTATACTTTCATAGTATTTTGTTTTTGTTTGAGGGTTCGCTATTTTCCCATAGCTGGGACCCTAACAGGTGCTACCACCCCGGGTCAGGGTGGACCTGGGAACAACAGCAATTAAGAGGTGGTTCCACACTCCTCAAAACGTCTAATCTCTTGATCAAAGGCCTTGCTGCCGGATGTAGTTTATCGTCATTCCCAGGACTACATGTAAGTATGATGTACGTAGACAAACCTTCCATCTTAACAACCTTACTTTTTCTTAAGTTTGTTTTGCAGACTGGGTCCTTGCATAGTGATACCAAAGAATAATAGCTTTCTTTCCAAAACAGAACACTTTCAACATAATGCTTACCCGATCAAATTGATGGCAAAGAATTGTATGATGATGGTCCTTCATTGCTCCAGTAACTAGTAATGGACGACCCCTTTCATATTCAATCAGACTTAAAGTAAGGACTTCTGTGGATGGAGTATTGGGTTTGGTAGTAGCACTGATTTCTTATTTTGTGATAGCAACTATCTTTTTCATTTTCTATGAACAGGCAAAACCCATTTTTCATCACTTATGTCAATGCGATGCAAAAATGAAAGATTAGCATTCATGGTTAAAAGACTGCTGCAGATGGTAGTACAGAGTGCTCGGTTCATGAAAGTTCATGAGGAACCCAACTTTCCTATTTTGAAGATTTCCCAATTAAACGTTGAAATGCACTATAAACGGCACACTGTCGCATAGAAGACATGATAAATTAATTCTAGACGCAGTTTCTTAACATTCTGCCTCTGTTAGTTTACTCATAATCCATAGCAATGAAGTACGTAATTACTTTCTGAATACCCACAAAGAAGAGATGACGAACTAATTCTAGATAGATTTTTGCGTGTTTTTAAATAAACGCAATACAGTAAAAACACTAATGTGACACTGAGGCCATGAAGTGGTTAAAGGTTAATTATGTGCAAAAAAGGGTTAAACGCCAAATGAGATTTGAGCTAGAAGATAGAGAAATACAGAGGGTGGAGACATTTTCCTTTGTGCAAATGGGATTTTTTCTCTTCTAAAGTTTATTTCTTTTCTCGCATTTGGACGAAAACAATAATTTTGTCTCTCAATTTTTTCCTAAAGTCGAATAGGGTGAAAGTTATGAAAGCAAGTCCTGTCAACAGTGATATGATTTATATTTTCACTGGACAGAGTTAAGTCTAGGAAATGAGAAATAATTTTATCTCTTCCTTGAGGAATTAAGAAAACGCATATCATTAAAGAGGAGAGATACAAACGGGGTTTATATTTTCGACCGAATGACCGAACCCTTTTTGAGGGTCGAAGTTATGAAAACAGGTCATGTCGCTAACAGGTAGGTGATCTGGTTTATATTTTCGCTCGACAGATATAGTCCAGGAATAGAAAAATAATTTTATCTCTTCTTTGTGGAATCAAGAGAATTAAAATTAATGACTAGGATTTTTTTCCTCCTCTTTTTTTTTGTTGTTGTTGTTGTTTTTGTTGTTGTCGTTTGTGTTATATGTAATAGGAGTAGGTAGACTTTCCTACCGTCTGGTCAATACTCCTCCTCCTTCTCTTGTACAAGAGTAGAGGCTCACACCTTGTTTCTTGTTTAAGAAGGGGTTCCCGGAACTCTCTCTCTCTCTTTCTCTCTGGCCTCTGTACTAGTACTACCGTGTTTCTCCCGTGATGTGTGCAGTCTATGGCATTACCTCTTCATTCTGAGGGTACACAGTTGACAGTTTTCTGGTTGCTGTTTACGACTGGTAGTTAGGAGCCTTAACTCTTGCGTAGTGTCTTGAGCGGCCGCTCTGATCAACAGTTGCATAATACCGGGGTGTCTGTAGTGCCATGTCGCGTATGGAACGGTGTCCCTGCATTCACTTCCGGTGGGCAACCCTGAGGCCACATTATGTTGCAGGATGTGCCAACTTCTCTCTGCCCACCTCACGGTCGATAACCATCTGCTTGTTTTACTTCAGACCTTCTCATTTTTACAACCATAATTTCACGTGATAACTAACGATGACCCGAAAAGAAAACCTAAACTAGGCCTTAAAAAATCACCTAAACTCTTTAACCTTTCATTTTCCAACATCCGTGGCATTAGAACCAATTTCTGCAGTGTGGAATCTTTCCTCATTGCGAACTGCCCCGATATACTGGCTTTGTATGCGACCAACCCTGACTCGTCCATCCCCTCCTTTGACCTCTCGATCCTCGGCTACCTTTCCCTCTCAAACCCACATGGGCTTAGAGTTTACGTCAAGAACCATCTCCCGCTGGCTAGAGAGTTGTCTCTTGAATCTCCAGACCATTCGTACATGTGCCTCCGGCTATCTCTTCTCAATGCTGTAAGCTACCTATTCTTCCTTTATCGCTCACCATCCTCCCAAGACTGTGGTATAATTGAATGCATTTCTGACAGAATTGACAAGGTTCTCTCTCTCTCTCTCTCTCTCTCTCTCTCTCTCTCTCTCTCTCTCTCTCTCTCTCTCTCTCTCTCTCTCTCTCTCAATCCCTCACGCAGATAGTCGACTTCCCTACACGTTTTCCCTACAACCGGGACGATAAGGCTTCTCTTCTCGATCTATGTTTTACCTCTATCCCCGAGTCCTGTAGCGCCACGCAGATCTGCCCTCTTGGCAATTCTGCTCATGCTGTAGTATCTATCAACATCTCCTTCAACTCCACTCCCTGCAAAGAACCTACTACCACTAGAACCTCGTTCTGCTATCAATGAGCAGACTGGGACTCGTTCCGGGATTTCCTTCGCGATGTCCCCTGGGATGTTGTCTTTACGCTCCCCGTTCAAGAATGTGCTTCCGAGGTCTCCTCCTGGGTTAAAGCTGGAATCAAGACTTTCATCCCCTTAAGGAAATATAAGGTCAAATCGCGCTCATCCCCTTGGTTCTCCGCTGCTTGCTCAGCTGCCATTGCCTATAGGAATCACTTCTTCCACCTATATCGTAGCGACATGTCTGACTGCAGTAGAAGTCTCTTTGTCTCTGCCGGTAACGAGTGCAAGCGTGCCCTCAATGAAGCAAAGTCACTATTTGCTGCTCGAATGAAAGAATGTATTGCATCTCGCAAATTCGGCTCCAAGGATTATTGGCGTCTCTGCAAGAGCGTACTTAACAATAGCAAACCCTCTATACCTCCTTTGTTCAACTAGTTCGAGGTTCTTGTCGGCAGAAGAGGTCAGAACTTTGGTGCTTTGCTCTGAAATTCTCATTCAATTCAACACTCGACTCTTCCGGTGTATCCACACCCGATTTCCCCCTTAGAACTGTGGCTCTATTGAGCGAACTGCACATTACCCCGTCATCAGTATTGGGTATTATCTTTAATTTAGACCCCCACAAGGCTAGTGGTTGAGATGGGATATCAGCCATTGTCCTGAAGAAATGTGCGCCTGAATTGGCCCCTGCCCTCTCCAAATTATATAACTACTGCCTCAATGAATCTTGTTTTCAAGACTGTTGGAAGTCCTCATCCATTGTTCCTATCTCTCTGGTGACCCTTCTGACCCTTCTAATTACCGTCCTATCAGTCTCACATTGACTGCTGACCTGAGGTGGAACAAATACATTGAGTCAATACCTTCGTCCACTGCAAGGAAAGTTGGCTCCCTATGCCGCGCCAGGAAATTTTTCTCGCTGGAGTCGATCCTTCAAATCAACAAATCAACCATTCGCCCTTGCATGGAGTATTGCTGCCATATATGGTCCTTTTCCCCTTCTGTTTGTCTCAAGGTTCTTGATAAGATCCAGAGACTGATATGCAATGTAATTGGCCCTGATCTGGCATCTCGTCTGCTCTCTCACAAACGTACCGTCGGCTCCCTCTGTCTTTTTTAAAAATACTTTCATGGTAACTGCTCCGATGAGCTGCTTTCGCTGGTTCCCAGACTTCATGAATTTAAGCATTCAACTAGGCTGGCATCTTGCTGGGAACTCTTTGTCCCCACGCTGATTTTGTACCAAAGTGCATATGAGCAGATAGCTTTGAGAGTTCGAAGACTTGTGCTGCGAATCCCGCATCGCATGATTCTGAAATTCACGTCAGCTACCACCAAATCTCCTGACTCTCAAGAACTTTGAACCCAAAAGTTTAAACGAGGTCCAGTGTCACTATAGAGATTGATACGGGAAAGGTTCATTTTTGTTGTACCACGAATTATATAAACCAATTGCAGATTAACCCAATGAATCTTTCGTTTTTATTTTTCGTTGTGAAGATATTTCTTCCTTTAATATAGCGCCTACTACAGCTCGAACCAGCTCTTCGACATTCGATCTTCCACTGCTCTGAGATCGAGAACACAACGTGGGAGGAGTTAGTGTGGATCGAAGCGGCCAGTGACCAATGACCAGCTTGGATTAACGTTAATATTGACTAAAGCAGAGTTAGCCCTGTAGTTAAGACGTCGTCCTAAAACTCCGAGGACCGAATCACTAAACGTGGTTACACCACCGGGTGTAGATGGTGTTAAAAAGGTTATACCAAGACACAAAGGGGTTACAGGTTGTGGAATAATTAGGAACAGAAACATTATTAATGAGCGGGAACATGAAAGAGTAATCAGCAGGACTGTAGATGACGATTAACATTACATTTAATTTTTTGCATATTGAAGTTGGCTGGAAAGCATGGAGCCGAAAGTGAGTTCCACAAGCGAGAAATGAGACAAAAGAAATTATTAGCATAGAATTTACGGTTACATCTAGCCAGCTCAGCTGTAAATTAATGAAATCTCAATGCCAGTCTGGTACTGCGCTTATAGCGAAGAGTTCACCGGAACAATTACCATGAAAGTATTTATAGAAAAGACAGAGAGAGGTAACCTTACGGTAGTGGGAAAGTTACTGAAGCCGAGTCGTCAGATTAGGACAAATAATATTGCTGATTTTTCTTTGGATTTTATCAAGGAACTCAAGGCAAATAGGAGGGTCGCTGGACCATATGTGGCAGCAATATTCTAAGCATGGACAAATGGTAGACTTACAGATATGCAAGATAGATTCTGGAGAGAAAAAATTGTCTCATAAAATAACATCGTCTGTTAAATTGTTTTTAAGTTACTAGTAAGAGAAATGTTCATAAGACGGGAATTTGTCTAGAAAGAAAGAAAAGGAAAGAAACGAAAAAGGGAGAAAGAAAGGAAGAAGGAAATAAACGAAAAAGAGGGAAAGAAAAAAAAGAATGAAAAAGAAAAAGAAGGAAAGAATGAAAAAGAAAAAGAAAAAAGAAAGAAAAAAGAAGAAAAAATAAAAGGAGAAAAAGAAAAAGGAGAGAAAGAAAAAAGAAAAATAAGGAAATGAAGAAGGGAACAAAGAAGTGTTTAACGTCTCCTGTCAATACCTCATAAATAATAGACTATTCCGTTTTGATTGCGTAGAAAAAAACATACGAAAGAAAGAATCTATTTCAGTAATGTGGAAAATTGTCAAACCCTACTCTTTTTCATTTCAACACACTTTCGAAAATAATGACCAGCATTCATATTTATGATTAGGTTCCTCCAATAATTCGCAATACCTAAAATTTCAAATTATTTTTTTTTAAATGAAAAAGCTTTCTTGAAGCTTTCATTTTAGCTTTAATTGAAATTTAAAGGATTATATTTACTATTTTCATTAAACAAAATACTCTGGTGTACTTCAAACAGAAATTATATTGATTGGAATCGATTTTTTGTTTTTTGTTTTTTTTCTAAAATATCTGATTAGCGCCCTTTTCCAGTCGTCTTTCATCGCAGTGTAATTCTCTGTATTAAAAAAAAATCTTCCAAAAATAAAATATACTTTTCTGGAACTTATTAGAGAAATATTAGCTGATTTAAAGTATAATTAACATGAAAAATATTATTTACTTTGTTTAAAATAACACAGAAATATCTTTAAAAAATAGTATTTGTGTTTTTAACAAACATCGCCATATTTTACGTAATTGACGAGGTGGTGACTGTTGTTTTACGGAGTTTTTTTAAATTATCTGTAAAAGATAATTTAAGAAAATGACGTGAGAGCCTTTCTAATATAATTTTTAAGTACTAAGTAATCTTACAAATACTGGAAAATATTCTCCGTAATCTAATTTTAAGAATGTTGATTTTAAATTTTAAATCTTCAAGCCAACCGTAGAAGTCATCTGTGAAGAGATAATGTAAGATGAATGCCGTGAAACAGAGATGAGCAGTGGGGATGGTAGATGAGAGCCAGCAGTCGAAATGACGGGATAGAGATGCTTAAAGCAAGAGAAACACAGAGTTAGAATTCTCGCTGGCTGAGAATAAGATCTGGTCCGTTAATCTGTCACGAGAAAGAACAGAAGTGGGCGCATTGATTTCCCCAGTGTCACTTAACGAACCTAACACTATATTGTGGCAAGTGAATCTCTGAATAAATAATCAAATATATTGGAAACAAGGTTCGTGTTTTCATTTCACACCGTGGTGATAATTTCACCTTTCCTTCTTGTAAACGTACACCGGGCTTTTCCCAGTTTTTGTCCACTCCGACGTTGACTGGAATCGAAACAAAACGTGAAGCAATTTGTCCAGTCGGTAAAATAATGTATTATTAAATCTGTAACTACAATCTCTGGTTGCTTCTTGGACTTTTGACCGGGATCAAAGCGTAGCATCTGTTTTCCTCATTTTAGATGGGAGAAGACACCTGGCCCCAGGGTTTCCAACCTTATGTCATATCCTGCCTAAAATTGGGAGATCAGGTAAATAAAATCACTAATCCTACTGAAACTAGTCGTGGTAAAAAGAAGCCCTTAAATTCCCACTGCTGTAGGAATTGTGATATGTGAAAATCATTAATTAAAATTGCTTGAATTCTATCAATTTCTTAAAACTTAAAACATATGCAGACCTTTACGTCAAGCCAGGGCCAGTCCAGGGCTTTCGAGGGCCCACTCCTAATCTATGATACGCCCCACCGTGCGAATCTGTCATACAGGATCCCTATTCTACTCCATCTTAATTTTCGTAAGGTAATCTTCATATAAAATAAAAATGTTATTGTCACCTAATTATGTATAATAATTGATCATAGGCAATATAGGTGAACAATTCAACTGGAAAAATTTAAATACAAAGTGTCTAAATACAAATTAGAGACATGTCATAATAGATAATTCCATCTTAAATAAATCAAGAACGTTTTGCGGCAATTTTTAACATCCATTTGGGATTTTTCTTGATAAAAAGTTCAATTTTAACACATTCAATATTATGGATAAAAAATAATGAATTTTATATTGTGTTTTTTTTTTTCAACACTTAACATGAACAAAACAAATTTCCGGATTTGGATTTAAAAAAAAACGTTCCCATAATGACGTAAAAATCTATGAAAATTTTTCATTCTTAAATAGTCAGTTGTGCTTAGTTTAATTTATAACATATATAAATTAGTTTGAAAAAAGCAAATGTTGATAAGATAGCGAAATTGACAAAACACTGCACAGGGTACCCAATCAGGCCTCCACTCTCCCGGTCCGGAGTTTTGGTTGTAGTACGCACCGACCCTGCGTTTATCAATAGGGATTATATATTTAGACAAATCTTTGATTTTTCAGTCAGTACTGCATAAAGGTTTGTTTTTTTGTTTGTTTGTTTGTTTGTTTTGTTTGTTTTTTTGTTTTTTTGGGGGGGATTAATAGAAAAAATCTCACCGGGTCCTCCATAGACAAAAGGGAAAGTACTAATAAAACAAGCGCTGCCGGCAACCACCATTGACGTAGAAAAAATTATCCGCCTTCCGAAATTATGATCCAACAAATAAATTGTAACCACGTAAGCAGGAAATTCAACCAAAGCTCCCAGGATGAACTTCAAATAAACGTCACCAGACAAATTCCTACTGTTGATGGCCAGCGCAAAATAACATAGACTTACGGAAACCCTGAAAAAAAAAAAGACGGAGACAACTGTAACTGTTCATTTGTGAAATTCTATTTGTCTGTATAGAATGACTAAGCTTAGTTTAGCAGAAGGCCATATTAGTAGATTTTACAATTGATTTTCAGCGGAACGAGCTTGTTAACCATTGTTATATGGCAGATTATTAGCTCTGTGTTACGGAGCCACTCAACAAAACTTTTAAAATATGAAAGGAAACAATAAGAAAAAATTTAGTTGTTTGCTTAAGGCAGCAAAAGCAAATTTGACATCAAGCCGAATACATATATATATATATATATATATATATATATATATATATATATATATATATATATATATATAAATTAAATTGAAATTAACAACATTGCCAGGTGTGGTCGTAGGGTCACTGCGCAACTGTCAAGTTCACTTCACATATTTAACTTGAAAGCCGAAAAGATGAGATAAAATCTTTCCGTCTGATTTTTCAGTCAGTACTGTAAAACGCATAAAACTGATAAAATGCAGATTTAAAAAAACTGATTAAAAATTATTTAAAAAAACTGATTTAAAACCATCAAAAACTGATTTTTAAAAATCTCACCAAGTCCTCCATTAGCAAAAAAAAAGTACTAATAAACCAAGAAAGGAAACAATTTTTAAACATAAAAGGAAACAATTAAGAAGATATTTATTTGCTTCCTTGAGCCAGCAAAAACGATTTTGACATAAAGCCGAATATATTTTTTAAGTTGAAATTAATAAAATCACTTGTAGAACCTTAATCATAATCATCATTCCAGCGTGTTTTGGGCAAGTAGACCTGTTCGAAGACCATTCCACAACCGATATCCTCTAATTTTAAGGTTCCCATTAGTCACGGACAAACAAACGTCTATTCCATCAGGGGAATGCTTCGTCCTGGCAATTGACCTCTACCAGTCAAACGCGAAGAGTGACCTGACATTATAATAATAACCTGCTTATAAGTTATGAAAAAGCCTCACGGTTTTGTCATCTGTGGTAAGGATATTTGTGTACTTTCAAAATTTATATCGTGCACACTTTCACTTTTTCAATGAATTACACGAATCAAAGATGGCGTCTCGTACATCCATGTCTGAACAATTGCCCATGGAAACAATGCTTTCCACTTGGAAAAACTGTGACTTTTTCCGCCACACAGCAATCTTTTTTGCTTTTCTTTTTTTCTTTTTCTTTTTTAAATTTAGTTCGGATGTATCAGAAATTTAACGGTTATCAGCACGAAGAATAGAATCTGTAAAGAGAGTCTAAATTACAGCTGAGACAGTTTGGATTCATTTTTGCATGAATTCTCTTTGAAAAATGCATGAATCCATTGTTCCACCAACTTGTTCCCTCAGAGAAGGTAAATAGCCGTGTAGCTGGAGCAGTTTAGTTTTCGATGTTCGATAATAGGGGTCATGTCCCGGAGAGTTCCAAGTAACCCAGCACCAAATAGCCCAGTATAATGTATTTTACTTAGAGAGGAGATGAACACTATCAAGCAACCCCCTATTACGCTTACTTTCTTTCACACTTCCTTCATTTTTTTTACTTTCTTTTTTCTTTCTTTCATACTTTCTTTTTTCCTTCTTATTTTCTTACTTTTTCTTTCTTACTCTTTTTTCTTTCTTTTTTTTCTTTCGCCTTTTCCTCCTCCATTCTTTCTTTCAACTTCCCTTTTCTTTCTCTATTTTTCCTTTCATTTTTCTTTCTTTTATTTTACTTTCTTTCTTACTTTCTGAGATTCTTTTTTTTTTGCTTCTCATTTTCCCTTCCTTCTTCCCTTTCCTTTTTTACTTTTTCCCTTCCTTCTTTCTTTCTTTTTCCTTTGCTGTTTCTTTCCTCCTTTTTACATTCTTTCTTTTTCTTTCTTAGTTTTTCTTCTATCATCATCATTATCATTATTATCATCATCATCATCATCATCACACCGACGAAATCTAGTGCTCAGTGAGAAACGAGTGACAAAAGATCTCTTCAAATCGTCATCATTATCTTTTCCTTGTTATACTCTTGTTATTTTGCACCAATAATATCTGGTTGGTCAAGGATTACTCTCTACGGCCGGTAGCATACAGACCAGTAAAACTGTCGCTTTCAAAGGAGATGGACACTACCAAGTCACCCTTATCATCCTGAGAAAGACTTGATTGATTTAATTGATTTGTTTTTTACGACTTATCAACCCTTGGCAGGTTATATAAATTCAGAAAATATTTTAGGTTGTACGAAGTTTCTTTTCTTTTTATTTCTCTTAGAGATAATAATGATTTACTGATATACAGTGGGCTATGATAAATTTTTGCCACCTTTAATTACAACAATTTTGGCTTGTGTAATAACGTTGTTTTTTTTTCAGACAGTACCGTGTTAGTATCAAGCTACCCTAATCTATGAACTATAGCTGACTTATATTTTGCAATGAACGTTCGCGAGAGTAAACAAATTGGTGAATTTCAACGAGGGAAAATAATAGGATGGCATCAGTGTTGCAAGTCAAAGAGAGAAATTGCTAGGTTTTTCCAGGTTAATCATCAAACAGTTAATAATATTGTCAAGAAATTTAATGAAGAAGGCCATTGTCGTGTGGAATAATGTCCAGGAGGACCAAACATGGTGTCTGAGCGAACGAAAAGGGCGCTGAAGAGGGAAGTCATCAGAAACCGTCGTCAGAGCGTCAAAGATGTCGCCAACAGCAAGGAAATGTCGCCATATGCGGTGAGAAAGACTCTGAAAGAGCTAGACTATCAAAGAAGAGTCGCAAGAAAGAAGCCCTTGATTTCTGGGGTTAACGGGAGCAAGCGTATGAACTGGGCGAAAGAATTCGAGAGCAAAGATTATGAATTTTGACATTGTGTAATTTGGTCAGATGAAAGTAAATGGAGAGATTGGGGAAATGGTGCGGGGCGCTGTCTGTTCTGGAGGGAATTCTGAGCTGATTCCTGTTGACGAGCGGTTGAATGGTTCAAAATACTGTCAAATATTAGAGAAAGGAATACTCTCACTATCTGAAACCAATCAGATTGACAAGAATGTCTACCTTTATCAAGAAGATGGAGCGCCACGTGATACAAGCAAAAGTAGCAAAGGTCTAAAAGGAATCGCAAGGAATCAAGTCACTGCTATGGGTAACCCAAAATCCTGATATGAACCCAATAGAGCACGTTTGGGAGCACCTTCACCGAAAACTTCGAGAGCGTGCAACCAAAATCACGTCAGTGGCAACCCTTAAAGTAACATTGCTAAAGGAGTGGCAAAATATGGATCAGTCGATTGTTGATAATTTGATCAAATCCATGAAAAATCGAATACAAGCACTGAAACTAGCAAATGGAGGACTTACTCTATACTAGTTCCAAATACTGTTTATTTATGTTGAGTAGGGATTAAGTAATTAAATTTTGAAGTTGTATGTAGTTTATTTCTCCTGAATAAAAACTTGTCATAGGTCACTGTAAGTCATGCTGATTAAGCTGGGGTAAGATGATGTAGATTCGCAACTTTCTCAAGCTTATTTGCGTGTAAGTGATCACAACGAACACAGCTAGAATTGGAACCGACCACGCCAATCTTAACCTGTTCAAGTCTAACCGTTATTTTCCCCAAATAAATTCTGTAACCTTCTATTTCGATTGAACATCTAGAGGTTGTACTCTAATACCGCTCTAATATATTGTAAAGATAACGCATGGCAGGTGTTACCTATCTAGCAATACCTGATCGCTTGATAGATAACACCTGCCATCATAGCCAAAAATAAAACTGATGAGATAAAGTTACTAGAGATTGCTTACAATATTCATCATTTTTGGTGATTATCCACAGTTTTGTTAAACAGAGTTGTCATTTGTTGTCACCGATATCGACATCTTACTTTGGGCACCTCGACGTGGTGTAATGGTTAGAAAGCTTGACTTGCTAGATAAATTACAATAATGAGTTCGATCCTCATTAGGCGCCCCATACTTTCGGCCTTTTGCCACATCTAAGCTGGTCTTAGAAAATCACTATCGACATTTTACTTTAGTAGTCAATAATTTTACTATCAGAGATTACTCTCTGCTGGTTATATCACCCAGTAAAACCTGTTGCATTGGTTATGGGAACCACCCAGTAACCCCAATGGATATCAGAGAAGCTATAAAGGCCTCCGTATGATGACCTCACGATCTATTAAGTTAGGTAGATTTGTATTTGACTGCAATTAAGCTGTTAAAACTGTTATTTCTTTTTTCTTTCTTTTTTCTACCTTTCTCCTTTCTTACTTTTTCTTCTTTTTCTCCCTTCCTTCTTTCTTCCTTTTCTCCCTTCCTTCTTTCTTCCTTTTCTCCCTTCTTCCTCTCTTAGTTTCTTTTTATATTCTTACTTTTCTTTCTTTCTTTTTATATTTTTACTTTTCTTTCTATTTTTCTTTCTTTTTATATTCTTTTCTATCTTTTTTTATATTCTTGCTTTTCCTTCTTTCTATCTTTCTTTTTATATTCTTACTTTTCTTTCTTTCTATCTTCCTTTCTTTTATATTCTTTTCTTTCTTTTATATTCTTACTTTTCTTTCTTTCTTTCTTTCTATCTTTCTTTCTTTTCCTTATTCTTACTTTTCTTTCTTTCTTATTTACTTTCCTTATATAAATCAAGTGAAAAATATGATAACTACCAGCTTGGTTACGTTTAGTTACATCCCTGTGTAACTTTCACATTAGAGAAACAAATAAAAATTCCAACTGGAATATAATTCTGTGTGAGCGTATCTACTTAAACATGACGAAATGTTCCGATTTTTTTTTTTAACGAATTGTGACGAGCGATGAAAAGCTGATACTTTAGAAAATCATGAAAGCCATGATATTGTGAGGCAAGAAGAGAAAGCAACTTTCACTCACATTGGCAAACATCTGTCTTCAATGAAAGAAAAATATGCTGGTTATATGGTGGGGTTGGACGGTCGACCGTTTTAATCTAAGCTAGAAGAAATTAATGACTGATCCAAGCAAGTTTCGCAATTAAACTAAATTATCTCAGAAACAGACAAAAAACATCCAGAGTAAAAGACAAAAAGAGCAATGTTCTATCAGCTAAACGGCAATTTACTTTGGTGCCTATGTAAAAACAGTCACGGACTGACAGGAAGACATTAAGTCCGCCATTGTACTCTTATTCTTTTAGGTGCCGTATCACTACAAGACGTTTGCGATCATGACTCTCCACAACTTTCTATCCCTTGTAGCTGTTAATAATCTTTGTCTTTCTGCTCTCGTTCCCATGCCCTGCTCTGCTATCCATTCATTCAAGTTCATCAGGTAGATTGCTTTCATCTGTCTCTCTTACCTTCAATCTGTCCTGAGTGTATCAAATTTTCCAAGCTTTCCTTCCCAGAAATCTCTCTTCCTGATATTACGTATAAATAAGGTTTTACTGGGTGATACAACCATCAGAGAGTAATCTCTGATAGTAAAATTGAGTGCTAAAGTAAAATGTCGATATCGGTGACAACAAATGACAACTCTGGTTAACAAAACTGTTGATAATCACCAAAAATGATGAATATTGTAAGCAATCTCTAGTAACTTGATATCATCAACTTATTTTTCCTTTCCGATGCCATTGTCTCTACAACTTTATCGTTGATCACGTTCGGTTCACGGCATTATCAGCACCCTTCTGTAGAACCATATTTCTGTTGCTTCAAATCTCTTTTTTACCTGTCAGAAGATTCCCACCAAACCACACCAGCGTTCACAACAAATCTTAAAACGTTGCTAAAGAATATTTATATTTAAAAAAAAAGCATTGCTGCTTTATATACTCACCAATTTATACTCATGATGGAATTTCGTAGAATTAATGTTTTTGACGTCCAGACTTTCCAAATACCATGTGATTTTGCTTGTTGCACGTCAATATTCATTTCATCAATATTATCAGGTAAAGACTTCTTATTCTTTTCTGCGATTAACTTGACAATCTTAAAAGCTTTTTCATTCTTGTTCTTCATGAAAAGCAAACGGGGCGATTCTTGAACACACCTCAACAAAGGAAATATGTTTCAAATTAATCATTCAATTTTCATAGGAAATGATTTAATAATCATCATTAATTTTTTTTTCTTTTAAAGAAACACGAAGACATGAATTCATGCGATGTAAACGCCTTCCAATAGGTATAAGAAGACTGTGTTGCTATCACTCTTTAAAATTAATATCCGAAATCCTAGTTTTAATCTAAGCTCATACACTGACACCTCTGGGAAATACGCAACCCTCTTAGCTATAAGAAAGAAATTCATAAAGTTACAGCTTAATTAAAATTAAAAATTCAACCCAGTAAGTTATTTTTTTTTAAATTTCTTGTTTAATTTTCATCGGATGTCATTAGGAGCGTTTAGTTTTAATTAACTTCATTTGAAACATGAATTTAGATTGAGACAGCTATCATGTCAACGTGTATTTTTCAAAAGATTTTTTCACAGCGAAGTTATTTCTGTCTATTGATTCTAACACTGAAGTTGAAAGGAAATAAGCAACATTTTTGGTAGCTTTTTAAGAAAGATAAAAATGCGACTCAAACGCAAAAAAAAAAACTTACATTTTATGGAGAAGGAACTGTGACGGGTCAAACATGCCAAAAGCGGTTTGTGAAGCTTTGAGCTGAAGATTTCTTGCTGAACGCTGCTCCACGGTCGAGTAGACCAATTGAGATCGCGATCAAATCTAAACATTACTTGAGAATAATCGCCGTTATACGATGGTGACTATGGATAACATAAACAAAGTATATAAATCATGTTTTAAAAATGATTTGCATCAGCAAAAATGCTTTGTATCATCGGTTGCGGCAGTCACTTTGATGTGTAGCTTCCACATGAGCAAATGCTCAACGAAATCATAATTCCGTGTGAGCTTCGCAACTTTTTTTTAACAAATTGAGAACAAAGAACGATGAAAACTGGATACACTATAAATATTTGGAATTCAAGATATCGTGAGGTTAGCGAAAAGAATTTTCACTAACCGTACAAAAGCTTTATCTTCAACCAAAGAAAATGATGTTGTGCGTATAGTGGGATTGAAGATGTGTCAGTTTTAATATGATCTGGGATAAATTAACGACTGATTCGAACAAGTCCTGCTCCCAATTCGAATAATTGAAGTAATGATCGATGTGATGAAAAGCGTTCCGAGTTCGTTAAGAAAAAGAGCGTAATATTCCATCAGATTAAGTTTTTTTTTAATCATTCTACCCCAGGCGACAATACTACCAAGACACAAAGAGCCACCGGGAGTTATAGAGAATGAGAAGATTTAAAAAAAAAAACTGGAATCCCCATCCTAAACAGGTAACAAGGGATAAACCTCTAGGCTTCTTCAAAAGATTAACGGTAAATCTTAATTTTCTTTGTTGACCAGTTAAAATCTGTTACTGCCTGAATGGAAAATTTTGAGCCATCCACTGTACTCACCAAAGCTCGTACCATAGGATTACTATTTGTTTCTGTCTTTATGATCCATTTTTTAATCAAAAAGCGGATACTTTACGGCAATGCAGAAGGCACCTGAACCAGCAAAATGAACCACTAATCTCCGTAACAAAGTTCGATCCTCATCCACAGTTGACGATGTGCTGTTTATATGATGGAATTAGAAAGGGATCCTCTACTCGGGGCTTCTTCTGTAAATCCAAACGGTTGATTCAAATAAATACTGCTCCCAAGTAGATCAAATGAAGACGACAGTCGACGAAAGGCATCCGGGATTAAGTAATAAAAAGAACTTAATGGATGCACGTTGTGGTGTAAGGGATATCGGCTCCGAATGACAAATTGGAGAGCCGAGTTCGAATTTCAGTCGGGATTGTTATATTTACTTACGCGTAAACACCATTGAGAAAGATGTGAATCTATCCAGAGTTGAATAACAGACTGGGTACTGTAGCAGAAAGAAGCAACAACCTATTGCGAAAACCTTCTGCCTAGTCTGTCATGAATCGAAAGAAACATGATCTCCCAAACGTGTATCACGATCGGCACTTAACTGACCGACTGAATGGTTAAACAGGATAATACTCGACTGCATGTTTCTTTCGTGAGTAAGTAAAGAGCTGCGCAGCTTGACTTGTAAGATTTTCAGGTTACCATATATTCCGGGTTTTACTGAATTCGCTTAAAGAAAAACAATTACATGAAGGATTGCACGTAATGCAAAGTTTGTTTTTTTTTTTTGCAGAGGAAAATGAAAAAAAATTCTAGAAAGATAGAATTCTGAACTTGGCAGAAAACATTAACACAAAATGGTAAACATGTTCAATAAACAGGTTTCTGAAAATATCAACGGGGTCAGTTATTGCTTACATGAAACGCTCGTAAAAAAAAAGGCAACAGAAATTTATCGCCTGCTTACTAAGTCTACACTGCTGCAAAAGTAGTTATACAGCAAATATACTAGTATTATAATAGTAGTTCTAACATTCATTTAGTATGAGAATTCATCTAATTCATCAAAATTATTTTTTTTATTTTTAATTATTTTTAATTTTTATTATAATATATTTATCATAATTTTTAATTTGTTAATAAATAATAATAATGTTTTGCAGGTAAAGAGAAGTGTGGGCTTGACGGAAGCAAACAGTTTGAACATTTGAGAGATTGATATGTTATTATTTATATGATATTATTGGCACGATTTTATAATCAACAAAATACGTTGTGTTTTTCATTACTGTATACTACCTGCTTTTGCAAACCCCTGTATTTTTTACCGAAAAAAGTGAAATAAATTTCCTAAGGCAGATTATTTTTTTTTTTTTATTATAGCATGAATTTTTTCCTCGGAAATTCAATTAAATTGTTTCGTGTAAAAACAAATAAAAATAAAGATAAAAGAATATAAAAAAAAGAAAATTTAGCTATTTTGATAGAATAAAGAAACAGATTCTCGATCGTCCACTTAATAAGTGTGATGAAGGCAACCATAGTTGTCTCCCCATCGAAGTGTTCGACTATAAAAGAAATGGTCTAATCTCACTGCTGCAAATCTGAAACATGTTCTTAAATAGTCTCGTCAGATCGAGACTTTCATACGGATGTCATGGATACTGCCAAATCCGTTTAAAATATCTAAACAGCCGGCTATATATAAACGCGTTCTAAAATCAATGGTTAAAATTGGCTTTAAGCGAGTAAAGCCCGTGAGTTTTGGCAAAGACCATCCTTATTTGAACATTGTGGACTGGCGCTACATAATCTCAAACAAAGAACTGTACCAAATAGCAGAAACAACATCATTTTAGAACTACCAAGAGAAACAACTAAAATGAATAGCACATATTGTCGACACCCGCTTGCATCCAAGCATCGGGGGTCGTCATCCTCTGGACCTTTTTCTTTTTCGCTCCCCTGGTGACGTAGATGTCTGTGAATCAATGAGTGTTTGACGAAGTCATTTGGGTGAACTTGATTTTGGTGGACCACTCTGCGCGATGGAGAAACTCACACGTAGCCAGTAGTGCCTCCCTCGCGGCTCAGGGGAGATTGAGATAGGTGAGATTTGGCAAATTTGGTTGCATCGGGCTGTCGGATACTTGGTCTGTCAAGTTCCACCCTTGGTTACGCCAGCCCGACCGATGCTGTCCTCTTCTACCAGTTTGGCCGTTGAGACCGTGTAGACGTTTTCGGGGGTTGGTTGCATTCAGTCCGGTCCTTCCTCTTCGACCTTACTGCCATGGGTGCCCCTACAGGAGTTGGAACTCCAGACGGCGCATGTAACTCGAAAAGAAAATAATGACATAATCAGGAAGCTGGTTAAGAAGGAAATCTCCATTAATAATGGAAAGAGCGATAATAGCTACTGGTCTTGAGGAACCTGTTTTTCAGAAAAATTATTTAAAGAGTAAGATTTTACAAATTTCAACCGAAAGCTGTAATCAATACAGAATATTTCCTTATATGGAAACAGTTAATATTACCATTATCATTTCTCTTGACTTATTTTGTTAATAATATCTGTAATTTTTTTCAACTTACCAAACGAGGCTAAAGCTGAGAATGATCGAAGGGGCAGATAAAATGATCAGAAGAATGCGCCAGTTTCTCACAAAATAAGCAACTCCAGTAAGTATGCAGAAGCCTATAGTGAAGAAAATCTGGGTTACCATACATGTCCAAGCGCGTTTTTTCGTTCCAACTAATTCTGCACCTTAAAACAGAATTATTTGTCAAATTATACGACATGAGAAGAAAAAAAAATAACAAAGAAAAGAAGAAAAGGGAAAAAAAAATTATGCTGGCTGTAAATATTTTTATGGCGGTCATAAACCAAATTTCTTCTTCTGTTTTTGTTATTTCTATTTAAATCGTTCTAAAACATTTTTTCCTTTGTTAACACGTGAAAAACTCGTGGAAATCACTTACACTTCTCTTTCATTTTCTTTCCGAACGTTCATTTCCCTTTGCAAAACACAATCTGTATATTACTTAACACTTCGGCTGCTAACTACGGAGATCTTCGTTTTTCTTATCTTGCTCCAGCTGGCTAAGTACGGAAACCTACGTTTTTTGGATACCGCTGTTATGAGTGTCCCGTTGTGCCATCTATCGTAAAATCACAAAGGACAATGTTTCAAAAGATATCATGTGTATACCCATTACTAATCTGGTAAGTCATTCCCAGGTATATCCATGAAAATGGAATGCTGTAAAACACACTGGTGTCAGTTTTCTGTGTAATAAAATATGTAGGTTGAAATTTGGCATTTCCTTTAAAAATGGCTGGCCGGATGCGGGCAGCACTGGGCAAATGAGTAGCAGTGAAAGGGTTAAGAGCTGTGATTTACTTTCGACTCAAGCCAGTGTTTTAAGTGAGATATTGGTCTTTAAACGGGGGTGGCTTAACGGCCATGTCACGTGGCAACACCGGTTCCCGTACGATTACCGAAGTTAGGCAACGTCGAACCTAGAAATGTGTGGCCGCTTGGGAATACCAGGTGCTGTAAGCTTTGATATGCAGGTGGTACAATGGATAATGATTGAATTGTTAATTGGAGAGTCGAGTTCTAATTCGAGTTGGGTTCTTCATATTAATTTACGCGCAAATAGCCTTGCCAGAGGCATGAATACAAATATTCCCCCCCACACACACACACACTCAGCTAATTAGTAATCGTTATTATCTCAATAAAAATTCTTACAATATAAAAATATTTTCCGGGCTTAAATAAGCTGCAAAGTGTTGATAAGCCATAGCAAACGAATCATTTAATTTAAATGAGGGGACGCGAGTAAGATTTACACTAAAATGAGTTCATATCATTTTCAAAGGCCTGCTCTAACGTGTCCCTAAATTCTATTTGTCTACTGTTATTTACTAAGTTTAACTTAGGTCCACATGTAGGAAGCATATAGTGAATATCAAACTCAATAGTCAATAGTAATAAGGTTGAGGGGCCCTATTCAAACTCAATACTCAATAGTAATGAGGTTGAGGGGCTCTACTCAATTTAACTCGTCAACCCAGACAATCTTCATGTAGAAGTCACATTTGGTTTTTGCAAAATTCTTATCAATAATTAGCCATTTACAACTGTTTGATGCTTGAAATAATATATTTTTCGGATTTCTTTTAATCATTTCACCCCCAAGCAAGGCAATAAGGCCACTAAGACGCAAGGCGGTTTACTGAGTATGAAAGAAACTGAGAAACGTTGAGGAGAGAGAAAGAACATTAAAAGATTTTGCTTTGCATGCTCCAAGGAAACAAAAGATGACGATTGACTTTGAATTTTAAATTTTTAAAGATCGTAGTTGATAGGAAAGCAAGAAGCTGGAAGTGACTTCCACAGGGAAGAAGTGCGTGAGAAGAAACTATTAGAATAGAACTAACGCTTACACTTACCAATTTCAACAGTAGAATGGTGACACCTAGCTGCCAAATCTAGTACTGCGCTTAAATTCGTGAAGTCGAGGTAACAAAGAAGAAAACTCAGCAAAACAATTACCATGAAAATATTTATAGAAAAGACACAGGGAAGCTACGTTATGGCGTTGGGAAAATGACTGAAACAGAGATGCTAGGTCAGAACTTATCATATTGCAGATTCTCCTTGGGATTTTTATAATAAAGAATATTGCACCTATCTTTATTATACGACCATAAAGTTAGCAGGCGAAGCAAAACCCAAGTCCACCCTCCACAAATTTTCTACAATCTATCTTTTAAATCTATTTGCTAGCACATTCATATACTTGTAAAATTTGTAATAGCTAAATAGAATTAAGTCTTTACCGTTTACCGACCATACAGTACTGGAGGTAGACAATGATTTGAATAAAACAGTTGACTAAGTGGAATGAGTTTAATTGACTGAAATAGGGATGCAATCTTACCACAATATTTTGATAAGTATACCTCAGGCCTCCTTGAACAATCGGATCTCTCTAATTGAACTAGTGTTACTATTTCCTCTACTGTCAATTGCTTATTGAAGGCAGATCTTACACATCTTTTCTCCTCTTCTGAGCTCTGTGTTAAATAACAGGGCAGACTAGGCTTTCTAACCGTGGTTGAAAACTAGTTTATGAGAAGAACATCTCTGAATTCAAAACCTTGTGTATCCCTGACATAGAACAAACTATGCCGCCATCGTCAAGATCATAAAGTCCACAATAATTCTATAATCTCAACAGCTGTCGACCTACAACTTCATAGATTTATCATTATTGTTGTGTGTGGTATCATCTTGCTAGAGAGCAAATTTAAGTACCTAAATACCATGTCCCATCTGGGTTTATGAACTAAAAGGGTACCGTAGGATAGTTATCTATGCACATCTTGGATGTTTCGTTTAGATGGAGAGGGTTTTGCGAATATGGACAGGGTTCAGAAAGACAGAACATGGAGATTGTAGTTATCAGGGAAGCAAGAAATTGGGAGTTCCACAGGTTGGAAGTGCGAGAAAAGAAACTGTTAGAGTAAAAGTGTCAGTTGCATCTAGCTAGTTCAACAGTAAAACAGCGAGACCTAGTTACCAATATAGTGGCATGCATAAATTTGTGTGATCGGGGTACCATGAAAATTATGTGTAGAAAAGACAGAGGGAATCTACGTCACGTCGGTGAGAAAATATCTGATGTCGAGATTCTTGATCAGGATCGATTACATTACAGACTCTTCTTTAGATCTTGTCAAGAATCTCGAGATGAATAGCAGGAGCACCAGACTAGATATGGCAACAGTTCACAGACGAATGGTAAATTTATAAATGTGCAAGATGGATTCTGTCGAGAAAAACTTCTGGTATGACAAAGTGAAAGAACTTTCCTTGCAGTAGACGTAACACTTGATTCGATATAATCACACGACTTCAGGTCAGTGGAAACGTGAAGCAAATTAGGTGCCGAGTATTAGCCATGCTGATGACAGACAGAAGTGATTGTCTTTAGGGATTAAATGAGATCCGTTTTGTTTTGGAAGCGTTAAAATTTACAAGCCATATCTTGCCCCAGTTGACCACTGATCTGAGGTCCTTTTCAAGAGCAGTTGCCAGGTTTACTTTGTTGGGTCTACCGGATTTGCTACTAAGACAGGAGTAAATGGTTGTGTCATCTGCATAGATATCCACTTGGGAACTGATGACACCGGGGAGATCATTGAAGATCAGAAATAGCTTACACCCCGGGATAGAGCCCTTGGAGACCGCCGCGTTCGTATGAAAAAAATCTAAAAGCGAACCCGTTCAACACACGATTTATTAGGAACGATTAGATTAAATCAAACATTCGTCCTATGACACCGTAGCCCTTGAATTTGCGTAGAAGGCTAGTGTTATAAAATAAAATAAGACATATCTCGGCTGAATTGCAGGCAAATAAACTAACATACTCAAGAGCAAGAGCCGGATGTGAACGGGACAAGGCCCCGTCACAAAATGACAATTATCGTCGTTTACGCATAGGCCCGACGCACGAGTTCCGGTCGAAAAATAAAATAATATTTTAAAGTGTTCCTATTTCTCGACCAATAAAAATGCTTCCCTCCTAATTATACTCGAATCGTTTTTCGAGCCTGGTAAGCCATAAAAAAAAAACGCCATAAAAGGGGTCATACGGGGAAGTACAATAGCAGTCAACAGGAGGCCAGTAAAGAGATCTGTCACGGGCAGTCAGCAGCAGTCAGCAGCAGGAGGAGCGCCACGTCAACCAGTGAGAACTACTATGAGAGATCAACCCAGATCGGCAGCCGGCTTATGAACTATACCACAAGGTAGCTGTCCCAAAACCACATGTTCCTATAGAAATAAATCACGTAAATCTATTTCTGCTGTTGTCGTATTTCTTTCTTGCAACCATACGCTTGTCTATAACACTAGCATGCCAAAACCTTGTCGAACACCTTCAAGATATCTATAGCCACTTCCAGAGCTTTGCCATTCTTATATAAAGCCTGATATACAAATTCGATGATGGCCGTTAACACGTCGGTTGTAGACCTGGCGAAAGGGAAGCTATATTGTTTGTCCGAAAGAAGGCCGTGCAAAATAAGATGCTTAACTAATTTGGCATTGATTAAAGCCTCGAGAACTTTGCCGAAAAGTGGTAAGAGATTATAGGGCGATAATTTGAGGAGTCAGAGGGGGGGTGTCTTAAAAACAAGAAATACAAAGGAGAACTTTTAGCAAGCTGGAAAGCGTGTGGGGAATTACTTATTTTTCAGTCTTCAGCTTCTTTCTCCACAGAGGAAGCCTATTGCTACTCTATAGCTATTTCTATGGTAAATGTTCTGATGCGCTACACAATTTAATTCCACTAGTTTAGACCTTTATAACCAGGACACGCAATGCTACATCCACCAAGTCGAAGCACCTTCATTTCTTCCGTATTCTAATTCAGAGGTAGTTCTAAACCCACCCACCCCCAAACAGGCTCCCGTGTGAATGCTTTCTGAAACACTACACACTTAACCCATTCAAGTAAGGATCAGTCGTTATCTATCCTTCGCATCTTCATGTTGTAACCTAGGGAAGCTTACTGAATAGAATAATCACACGAAGGTTGGTAATTAGTGATAATACTTAAGACAAGAACAACGCATATAAGATTCGCCAGCGGCGCGTAGAAGAAGTAGTCAACTGCTAGAAGTGAGTCAAGTGAATTCCCCAATGAATCTCTAACTGCTGGATATCTACCAACCGCCCCACGCGGTCAGATGTGGCACAAGGTCGAATTTAATGTGGGGTATCCGAGCCCGTAGGATCGGCCAAAAATTCCCCGTAGACCCCGTATAAAACGGGGTCTGGTAGCTCTTTCCCAAGACGAGACTCTGTCCTTCGGCATAGCCTCGTCTGGAAATTCTCTCTGTCCAGAGGCAGAGAGTTTGATCATCGCAACTGAAGACGAATCTCCAACTGCAGGTCAACATACAGCATTTACTACTGTATTTATGTGAATGGGGACATACTCATTATCGTCCGTAGGTATGCTATAACACTTCATAATATTCCTTTCCTTCTATATACACATATATTCATATCACACACCTTATTCAGTAGCCATCTATCATGAGTGGCTCCTGGGCTTTGAGCCGGATGAGTGACTCGGGGCGGGGCTGCAAACTCACACACTGGCAGACAGTAAGTGGCGAAGTCCGTCGCTGAATATAAATATAATGTTACTTATTCAATCAATTTTCAGCACGATGATATATCATTTTCTCAGTATTCAAAGTATAACATTATTTTTTAAGTTTCATTATCATTCCAGGGGTTATTCGGACAACTGAACTAGTTTTAGTGTCATCTTTTTATTATTATTATTATTATTATTATTATTATTATTAACAACTGCAGGTGTTTCGTATTGTTTACTTATGACGCTAAAATGTTTGACTTACCGAGTACATATGCCGTGACGAATGATCCCGAGCTCGCAAATCCAATGATGAAACGGCAGATTAGAAACTGATTAATATTTTGGCTAAATGCTGAAGCAATTCCAACTATTCCCTGGAGTAAAATGCATACAATCATTACAATCTTGCGACCAACCCTGTAAAAATTAAAACATATATATAGTCATCTGTTTATTTTGACAAAATCACGCAACAACAAAAATCACATTTCTGCAACACGATATCGCGTTATAACAAAAAAATTTTTTTAAATATTTGCATATAATTATATCTGGACGACGTGATTAATTAATTATAGTTTTTATTCATTTTGTTTTCAGAATTTCATATATCAGTTTCTTTTTCACGGATGAATCTGTCAAAAATGTTTGATAAATTCAAAGCGATACTGGTTATTTTTCGTAATTATTTAGACAAACCAATTTTCTGAATTGTTTAAACAATAAATTAGATTTAAAAATAAAACAGAATTCACTAAGTTCACATTTCCGATGTTGAAGACTCCACAAACCTGGCGAAAGAACAATCATCCATTTAGCACACGGTCACGTTACCAGTTTTGATTTTGTCTTGTTTACAGAACTTCATAAAGACTTAAACATTCACGGTGTATATTTCTTTCAAATTGCAAAAGTAATTTTTACGACAAATATTATCCAAGTAAAACTTCGAGGAAAATATTTAAATTATTTTAAAAGATTTTTATTTAAAAAAAAAAAATGGTTATTATTTTTATAACAAACTCCTACTCTTCTTTCTTCTTTTTCTTTCTAAGTCCTGAGTATGACGATAAACTACATCCGGTAGCAAAGCCTATAATTGGGAGATTTAAAGTTTTGAAACACCTCTTAATTTCTGTTGTTCCCAGGTCCACCCTGATAAATGTCCTAGCTATGGTCAAATAGTGAAAGGCAAATATAAGTAAAATACCAGCAATACATTATTATATATAAAAAAAAAGGACCAACAATACATTTTATCTGCAGTTATATTGCCTTCAAAATATATTTACTTGAAGTTATAAAGAAGTTCCGAAAAATTTAGATTTCAACATTAACTAACCCATATGTCATTAAATAAAATCACCCAACAACCTTTCTTTGGGCCGTGTCACTTCAATGACATTAGCGATTCTGGTTCTCCACAAATTCCTATCCTTTGTAGCTATGCCGAAAGGCAGAGTCTCGTCTGGGTGGTAGAAAGCAACCCGAACCCGTTTTTTACGGGCTCTACGGGGAATTTTTGCCCGAGCCTACGGGCTCCGTTTTGCCCCGCATTAAAAAACAGCCTCATGCCACATCCTACCTCGCGAGGAGGTAAGGTAAATAACTTTGTTCGGGAATTAGTTGGAGATTCGTCTCCAATTGTGCTGGTCGAAGCAGAGAGGAACCCAGACGAGGCACTGCCCTTCAGCATAGCCTCTTCCGGGGTGATGTACAGCTACCCAACTGCATGTATACGGGGAATTTCTGACTGAGCCTAGCGTCCCGGTTTTGCCTCTCATTAAAAAATTGCCTTATGCGACATCCTGCCTCGCGGGGAGGTAAGGCAAATATCCTTGTTTCGGGAATTATTAGCCTGATAACCAATTCCCTGTCTTTCAGTAGTGTATTCTCTTTTACAATAAACCTCGCTTCTGTCATCTACGCGCGTATTGCTGTTCCTTCAATCGTGTACCACCTTTGTCTGTTTGTAACCTCTTTAAGGATACAACAAGAATAGTTTCTAACAAGATTTTCTTGTGAATCTAAGAAATAAGTGCTAGATTGTTACATGATAGAAAGCCTCTTGTGTGGCAATGAATGCTGGACAATCTCACTGATGGGACAACGCAAGAATTTTGTGAATAAAGGGAGATATGTAAAAGGTCAAACCCTGAACAAGAAAGTTTGGCGAACACCCTGAACACACAAAAAAAGCAGAATCCAGAATCGTAAATAATTTCGTTGATTATTGGGTCTTTTGATTTAATATGGATAGCTTCTAAATATGAGTAATCTTTGTTTACAGTTTGCTTTGTTGTTTATTATTGTGTCATTCTCGTGCCCGCTGATATTATTACTATTTTTATGTTTATGCATCATGTGTTGCCACATAGCATTTTGAGTGGAATTACGAAATGTGAGTTTACGAGAACGAGTTGTGGTTGTATACCCAATATAAGATTTTGTTTTATTTTAATTTAATTTACTTTTACTGTTATTGTCTAAGATACAATATAAAATACGCCAAACCACATTGGTCTTACGAAACGAATTTGATTTTAATGTGTTTTTATTCGTGATTACTAAGTTAAGTGTTTTCAACTTCCTATAAAAGATAACGAATAATACACATTTATTGCTATCTGTGACTATATAAGTTTTATATATATATATATATATATATATATATATATATATATATTGAGATTATTTTATAGCTATTTTGTCTTAATGTAGTTTCAATATTACAATAAAATAAGTTAATAAGTTCGGTACTTTTATAAGTGTTATTACTTTTCCTTAAATAGAACTTTATTCCTTTGTTCGACAATATAATGTGCAAAATAGATTATCTTAGGGTTATTAATTTTTTTTAATGTCTGTTTTAGATCATTGAGGACATTCATCTATGCATTTACAAAATTAAGAATTAGTGTTGGAGAGTTGACGTGCCAAAAGCTAAAATGGGAAAATAAACCGTTTCTATACATGAAATACTTGCCATTTAATGTCAGTTACCCATGACTGAAATTTGTTTTCTTAAAACAGGTTTTTTTCAGGTAATTAAACGGCTCTGTTAGCGCTATTTCTAATACAGTTGGGTTTTTCTTCCAAAACCGCTGTTTTTGGTAGTATGGAAAGCTAACTCACTGATTATGTCATTATTTTCTCTTCTAGTTACATATGATACCCATTTTGTGTTCTTTGCTGCTATTGGAATTCTTCAAGTGATGTCATTTTTGTTATTTGATAAAGCTCTTTTTGTAGTACCAGTTTATAAGATCGATTGAAAGTTTTATATGTTTGAAACCATTTTTAATCATCGATCTGAGAGAATAATTTATACAGATGATAGTTTAGGCATTTCTGAATGAATTGGAAACTATGTACCACAGTCATATGTGACTCCAATTCTGACGATTTAAGATCAGGATGTTTTCAAGTTAGTATACTAACAGCTTTTATTGTTTTACAACATTGATTGATTCGTTTTCTACGGCTTATCAACCATTTGCAGATTAATTAAAGCCAGAAAATATTTTATATTGTAATAATTCTGGGAAGATAATAACTTAGTGATACAAATCTTACTAATTAACCCATAGCTGGGGGAAGAAGCGGGAGATTCATACTTTTCTGTTGAAACTTGTATAAGCATGGAATAATAATAATACAACACAAAATGTACGTAAACAAAATGTATTGAAACAAGGAAAAGGTACACAATATTTACAGTTAGTTTTGGTATATTCTTGGGAAGACTGTTCCTGCAGAATGGGTTGACTAAATCGCAGTCGGGCAGAGTCTCTGGATTCGATCTCTTCTTACTTTCCCCCGTCTTCCCGGTACCAACCCATATTTATATGGTCGGTACTCCACTTATGTAAATTAGGTGTATCGTACCACAACATTTTCCCAAGGGTATTTGCGCGTAAATGAATATAACGAATCCAACGGGAAATGGAACACGCCTCTCCGGTTAACAATTCTGAGCCATTATCCATTACACCATCCGCACATCCAAGATTACAGCGTCTGGTATTCCCAGGAGGTCACCCATCTAGGTACTAACAAATCTCGACGTTGCTTAACTTCTATTTCTCATTCCGAGCCGTTATCCATTACATCACCCACACATCCAAGTTTACAGCAGCTGGTATTCCCAAGCGGTCACCCATCTAGGTACTGATCAGGCTCGACGGTTCTTAACTTCGGTGATCGTACAGGTTTTTAAACGTGATGTATCCGTAAGCCTTTGGTGGATAAAAGTACCACTATAAATTGTTGAACAAAATTACTTATAAATTGTTGGACAAACGTACCCCTATAAATCGAAATTGAATATAGAACATATTTTAGTTCAATTTCCTTATCTCCTATACTATAGTTTTTTTATAACTTATCCATATAGCGATGTATTTGAAGTGTTTAGATGTGATCAATTCTACATTTTGAGTTTTTATAATGGATTCATGGTATGTAACATCATTATTCTCCTTTCAATTCCCTCTCACAGTTTAAATTATCACTATGTAGGTGGCGCCAACATACCTTACGTCACTGAAATACCCAAACCTATATAAGTCAAGTTCTGGTGAGTCCGTCTGTGCACAAGATTCGCTATTCATGCCAAAGCAACCTAATTTATCCTAGTTCGAAAGAGATATGATAATATGGTGACCAGACGAATTGAGTAATCCATTGCTGAAATCGTTGGGATATATATTGACGTTAAACCGTAGACAGCACAGTGATCGACCATAGGCTATTAATGATCATAACCAGATGCGTTTCGGTAGAATTATCTCTGGTTAACAGAAGAGGAGGGGTACAGGCTCAAATGACAACCATATTCAATGCAGCAAGTTACCAGATTTTCAGTTTATCATTCTTTAGCTAAACATATTATTCATTTCAGAAAATGAAAATGACATTTCAGAAATAACATGAATATTTTTATACATTCTAAACCTAAGAGAAACTGTGTATGGATACTGTATTTCCAGGCATATAGAGTCACTCGATGCGCCTTTTCGGGCCAACGTTTTGCGCTGACGTGAAATGAAAAGATTATATTGAATCAACTTCTAGGTCTGCTGATAGGAGAGTTGGCTGACTGTGTCGTCAACCGTAAACAGCGCAATGGTCAACCATGGGTCAATCATAACCAGATATGTCTAGGTAGAATTGTCCGTAGTATG